TCAATTCGAATTGAGAAAGCTCCTCGGATGAGGAGCGAAACGTCTTCTGTTACAAATAAAGTCCAGTTGTTTTTGTATTGAACGCTTTTTGAATTCTTGTAGCTCATGTTCTTGTGGTTACCTTTCATAAGTTCTTGCTGTCGATCCTCTTCATCCAGGTCAATAATGACCGGTCCAGCTGGTTTCTTCGTTTTTCTCTTCTTCCCCATCACAAAGCTCTTCTTCATTGATAACAGACGATACATCTCATAACCCATTAACAGCACACCACCATCTCTGGACCACTGCTCCACAACCTTGGCCCTGGCCATGGTCGTCCTGTGGATCAAACAGTCAGCATGAATAACAAATACCTGACAGTGAAAACGTTATCTCGTTCATACTCCAACAAGTCACATACTTGTGCTCATCATTAAGAATATGAACTTTAAATGTGCGGCCAGTCACAAGCATAGGGTCAGTGTCAGGGGGCAGGGCATCTTGGGGCGGCAGCCAGAGGTTAAACTCTGACAACCAGTTCTGAAGTGTGTTCACCTGAAGAAAAAAACAACAGAAGGTTTTATTGACAGAATACAGCACCCCTTGAGAGTATAACTTTGTGCTTCAAGTTATAGTCTGATTACTCACAGGGACAATAGCCAGCACAGTGTGAGCCTCAGTATTCTTTAGAAGGATATCGATGAAGGAAATGACTTGTAGCGTCTTGCCCAAACCCATACTGTGTGCGAGGATGCAGCCAAAGCCACTGCTAGTCTTGTACCGCTCCAGAGACTCAATGAGGTTATCATAAAGAAAACGGATTCCCCCAATCTTGGAAACAAAAAGAAAAAACGTTCATAATAACACACACTGCACCGTGAGCCTCTGAAACATGACATTTTGTAAAATGGAGAGTAGAATCAGACTGGAGTCATACTTGGTGAGGTTTGACAGCTCTGGCTAGCTGTGGGGCAAGGTAAATGTCTTTCTCCTCTGGAGGATGGTTGATATTCACCAACACTTGACCCTGGGCATCAGGCATGTTTAGTGTATCATTGATGTGTGCACCGCTGCTTTCCTCTGATCCAGTGGTGCCGTCAGCATCCTCATCAGCTGACTCGCTGCTTATCTGCAGGGCGTCTTCATCCCCTGAACTGAGCTCTATTATATCTGTGTCAATATTACCAAACATCAACTTAGGGACTTAATCAAATCTCATATTGCTTAAAATCAGATGGAAAAAGGAGAAATCAATCTTCACAGAGCTATCATCTCCCTTACCATTTCGAATGGCAAGCACAGGCAAATTTGACTCCTCTTTTTCTTCTTCCTCACCACTACTGTCCAGACAGATCACGTCTGACTGAACTGCAGGGACTAAATGAGATACTTCTGCTAATAAAGCTGCAGTTTCTACTGTTGCAAAAGAAAGAGGGCATTTACGTTGGAAGTATTGCAAAAGGTATAACAATCCCATTACATTATTAGTAAAGCATTTACATTAATACTTTACACAATTTGTTAATAAATCAATCACCTAGTTGAGAGTCTGGGAGTACTGAGGCAGGTGTAGGGAATTCTTTCCTCTGCTGCTCCAGTCTTTTCCGTCTCTCCATCTCTTCCTGCTGAGCTGCCTTAGTCCCAGCCTCCAGCTGATCCTCCTTTAGCAGCTTTCTGTAAGTGCAAAAAAGGTCTAGTTACTGTATGTATTTAAAGTGCAATACACTCCTTTATAAATGTCAAACAAATAAACTAACCTGATATTTTTTCTCATGTGTGCAGGTTTAGATGGTTTGGAGCCTTTTGAGGACTTTGATGATTTGAGTAATTTAGAGTTTTTTTGTTTCTTGGTTTTACTAGAGGGTGCTTTCCTCTGGGTGGAGTTCTCAGGACTGGTTGGAGCTTGAGAACGTGATTCAGGTCTGGAAGAAGACCTGGAGGGTGGACGGGATGCAGGCTGGGATGGAGGTCTTGAGGAAGAGTCTCCAGAGGAAACTGAAGAGGAGTCCCTGTCATCCTGAGTCCCGTCTGTCCGGCTCTGAGCACTTGCAGGTTGGTCTTTAATAAAACAAACAAACAAAAAAATCAATAATGGTGCTTTTCAGCTACTTTTTGTTTGATTTGCTACTATGTTAGAGATTATTTTCCAATTGCATGACCCATCTTTGGCCTACTTTTCTTATTCTGTCAAATATATGATGTGTGTGTGTACATTTTTGTACTGTTTTTCTTATACATTTTATTGTTGGATGTAACTGGGACCCTGTGTACATAATTTCGCTCCACCACATGTACCACATAAGGTGTGAATGACAATAAAGAAACTCTGACTCTGACTCTCTGACATACACACACATCTTTTATCTAACTTTTTTATTTACCCTTTTTTTGTTTCCATTTGTTCCACAGTCACATAATTTCTGTCAGGATATTTTCTAACAACAAGAAAAAAGCTACTAGTCAATACCATCATCTTCATCGTCTCCATCGTTTTCATCCTCATCGAATTCCATGTCCTCATCATCTTCCTCTTCCTCGTTTTCCATGCAGTCCAGTTCACTCTCAGGGCTGGCCTCCAGGTCACTTTCGGAAATTGCCTCGTCAGACATGTTGTCTTGCAAGGCTCTCAAATATTACCTGCACGCCTTCATCAGGAGCTTAACAACAGCAACAAACAACAAAAAGAAAAAATATGTCATTCATCTTTAAAACAATGGGAATAAGAAATAAAAACTTGCTTTTAATAAAAGGTTTGTACTCTAACAGGCTTAAATAACTGATGGCCTCTACCTTTGAGTATGCACATTAACTAATAAATAAATAACCAACAAATACCTTTTTTTTTATGTTTACCCTCTTGAATATGTTACTAAACGACGTATACACAAGAAAGAGTAATTCTATCCTTTTTAATAATAATAATTTTAAAAAATCAGTTGCTAAAAGCACCAATTCACAAAAGTTATCTCATTATAATAGCAAAAAACTAATAAGTCCAAACAGATTCTGGTTCAAATAATAAAGTAATCAAGCTATCGAATTTCTTAAATTACTTAAAGTGGCAAGCTATATAATCTTCAGCATATAAAACTTGATACGGTATGTTTATTTTAAACACCGAGTATGCTTCAAATTGTATTTGGCAGAAAAATGGGCAAAACTGACTCCAACGTGGGCTGCTGACCCTAATGGCAGGATTAGCATTAAGGTCTGCAGCTTTTGTGTTGTGTGTTATTGTTGTTACTGAGCACCAAGCAGCCTTCGATTGATGAATTAACAAATACTGTATCGAGCAAACTGGCTGCACGCAGACAAACTGAATTATTTTATTCAGGCTAAAATGCCGACTTTTATTATCTTAGCTAATTAAACAAGAATTGAACGCAATTTCAACAGCGGAAACACACGTAACCTTCACGTGTGAGCAAGCAACGATGTGAGGCTACAAACAGAGCTAGACGAAAACGGGACTGGTCAATTTCATGTTGCAGTGAGAGATAATCATCTAACATTGATTGAGTGGGTGTAACAAAGCTAATGCTAAATTGCAACGAGGCTAACACACTCGGCTAATTAAAGCGCGTCAGCTGCTCTCAAACATCCAGGAGCGATTTGAGCTTACCTTCTGCACAGTGTACTGTTCAAGAACCTAGGCTGCAAGCGCACACAATGAATAGTTAATCAAAAAATACAATAAGTGTGTTTATAAAGGGACAAACGTTACTCATTTCCATTTTTTTTTCAGTGTGACCATAAATACTTCCCCAGCGGCGACAGCTAAAATAAAGGTTCCTAATGCCTGTTTGATTTTTGTTTTGGTTGTTTTTTTTTAAATAAAAGTAAAAGGAAGATTGTATTTATCTTATCACAATCTAGAGTCATTTTTGAATATCTATATTATTATTCACTTTGTTTCACTTGTATTAAGTATGCATATAAGTTTCTTAAATTGGGTAAAATATAAATATTTTTTTAAACTGTGAGCGTGTTCAAGAAAAGTTTGAAGATTTTTTCACGATCATTGAATTTAGACAGTTTTGAATATTTTTATGGGTATTACTAAACATTGTCATGATCAGAATATTGTTTGAATAAAAAAAAGCTTAGTTTATTTGTTTCTGTTTTGTTTTTATGTATTTCATTCACAAGGATAGATCAGAGATGCTGTGCAGTGGTTCTCAAACTTTTCAGCTTCTGACCCTGAAAAATGTCAGAAACCTTTAACTAGAATATCATTTATTAACACAATACAGTATACATGATCATTCTTAACTCTAATCAATTTATGACTGTTGTTTTAGTCTACATTGACACTCACTGTGAAAATATACTTTTAGTGCTACTTTTGAAATAAAACTTGAATTTTGGTGACCATTTTGGTGTTAATTGCCCGTTTGTGAGGTTCTGACCCTAGATTTAGTAACGAAAAGTTATTGATGTAACAGAATAATAACATAATAATAATATAGATATTAAAAAAATACGCTGGATTGTGATAACATAAATAAAATCTCCCTTTTAGTATTACTAGCATATGTAAAGTTAATATTAATAATAATATATTAATTAAGTTAATATTTTAAAGCATTTAAATGAATTTATTTTGTTGTGTTGTTGTGAACGAGCTGGCTCATTGTGCCTGTTCCTTTACAATAATAAAAACCAGTGGGCAGAAGAGAACAGAAATGGAAGAAATGCACTGGCATTTGTATTTGCTAAAATTTGATGTTTTTCAAATTTTGAACAGCAAACATGAGCCAAAATTGTTTTGTTCCTAAAATGGTAAAATATGATTGTTTTGATTACTTTTAATGTTCTGCATGTGCATTTAAGAACAAAAAGGTCGGAGGTGATACATGAAAAACTACAAGAGCCAGTCCCACCAATGGTTGGGTTGCAGGCCGGACTGTTTTTGTTGTGACACCTAACCATCTTGAATTGATTACGTCATTTTTAGGCGACTTGTTCCGCCTTTTGTGTTTATATTTAACATTTCACGGTTGTTTCGTGAGTAAAATTGGCATTCACCTAAAACAAATATCCTCAGCTGCTATTGGACATGGATTGGAAAACATCTTAAATGTTAGTCTGCTGTGGGCGAGTTAATAAAAATGAATAAAGGGTGGCTGGAGCTCGAGAGTGATCCAGGTGAGAATAACCTGCAACATCGGAGCTAACAAACATTAGCTTGTACATGTAGCTAAATGAACGCTATGACATGGATTTTAAAGCATTGCAATTAATTTATTCTGACAAACTATAGTCTTAACTTGTATTGTGAAATGCTAATTGTGCGAATGTCATAGGATCGAAATACGGACGGACAGAAACATTATTGGTTGAAGTTGCGCAATTTTATTTAGCTTAATTAACAAATTCTGAATATCTGATTTGTGAACTGCAGGTTTGTTCACTCTACTGGTGGAAGATTTTGGTGAGTATTCGGTGTAAAACTAATTATTATTGCAAAGTGTCTCTTCTGTCATTATTGTCTATTGGGGATAAAATAATGTTTTTCTCTGTAGGTGTTAAAGGTGTGCAAGTAGAAGAAATCTATGATCTTCAAAGCAAGTGTCAAAGGTATTTAAATTTAAATCAGCTTATAAGTTTGTCACCTTGAAGATAAGTTTTAACAATATACTTTTAGCATGTAATAAAATGTTGGTAATAAGTATTTTTTCCCCAGTCCTGTTTATGGCTTCATTTTCCTGTTTAAATGGATTGAAGAGCGTCGGTCCAGGAGAAAGATTAACACTTTGGTGGATGAGACTTCGGTCATTGACGAGGAAATTGTAAATGATATGTTTTTTGCACATCAGGTAAGTGCTTTGTGTGTAACAGATACAATCATTACAGTTATTCCTGCAAGTCAGTGATTTCTGTTTGTAGGTATCTTCTGAACTCACATATTGTTTGTTGTGTGTGTTTAAAGTTGTTAAATTTGTGGGTTTTAGAATGAAAAATTTCTTGTATGACTAAATCTGGTGCTTATGTTTCTTAATGGGCATTGCCACTTTTTTATTAAAACAATACATGGTAGATTCTGGTGCTATATTTAACATCATTGCCATTTTTTGCTTGAGCACAGTAAATATGTTATAAAACTTACAAAACATGGATAATACATTTTTAAGTGTTTTGTTAAAGTTACAATCATAATCTTTTTGTTAATTGTAAAAATTGATAGTGTAACACTCAAGCAAAATGATTTTTTTTTTTGTTTTGTTTTGTTTTCACTGATCCTCAAGCAGCATAATTTTTACTGTTTTTTATTTTATTTACTTTTTTTTTTTTTACTGTTTTTATAGAATGGCAAATACTAAAGGTTCAGGTTTGGATTTAGACTTGTTCCACTGCTGTGTGGATACAATTCATGGTGCAGGCAGCTTGTGTTCATCTCAGTACTGTTACAGTACTGTACTGTTTTGGATCAAATAAGACTCATTAGCTGAAGATTTTAGCATGACTTTTCAAAATAAAAACATACATTACAAGGTTTTACAAAACTGTAGTAAGAAATATTTGTTATAAAAGCATAAACATTCCATAGTATCAAAGCTGACAAAATACAAAGTAAAAAAAATTACCATAGATGTGACAAAATAAAACATGATTTCTTCTTTCAGTAGTTATGGCAGATATCCTGTAATGTACAGATTTGTATATAAATTGTACTATTGAGGTAGACATTGAGCCTGTTCAACTGGAACTGGACATAATCTGTTCTCCCACTAGTGTTCTTGTTTTTATTCAGCTCATATTTGTGTTAATTTAATGTGTGTTTCTAGTTTTATTGAATATTTTATTTGTATTAACAGTTTTCAAAATCCATCTAAGTATTGTGTAAAAAGTCAAATCAAGGACTAGGTTTGCATTTTAACCTTTAGCTAGAAAACCAACATACTGAACTATGGTGGCTTTGTTTTAGCATCAAGCACTGGTTTCTGTGCTGTCCTTGATTTAAGTCATTTTGATTCAGTTCAATATACAGCAGAAAAAGGAGGGTTGTTAAAAACTACATGGTCATATTTGACATGTTCATGACGTTTTCTTTTTTCTGTTTCTAGTTGATACCAAACTCGTGTGCCACTCATGCTTTGCTGAGCGTCCTTTTGAACTGCAGTGGAGTTGAGCTCGGCACCACACTCAGTCGCATAAAGGCTTTTACAAAAGGCTTCAGTCCAGAAGTATGCTTTTTTAAATCAATTCTGCATTGCCAGCTGGTATTTAAAACATCATGTATATTGATATAAATAATACAAAAATGTGCTGTAGAATACATATTGTGTACAATGTTTTGCTTGTTTTAGTAATTTCCCATCTGTGATTTGGCCAGTATATTTCTGGCCAATAATTTATATATATTCATATTTTTTTAATTTTTTTTAATGTAAAATATAATTGATTAATTTTCTCCAGAGCAAAGGTTACGCAATAGGAAATGCCCCAGAACTTGCTCGAGCACATAACAGCCATGCCAGGTAGGTTACAGTCAGTGATACGCTTTCAATTTTTCAGATGATCCAAGGTTTATGTGGAAAAAAAAAATCTTTCGTCTGCCATGTTATATAATATGTCTGCCTTTGTACATGTATTGGTTTCTCAAACCTGTTTTGTGTGTGTGTGTTTCCATGGAGACCGGAGCCCAGGCACCTTCCAGAGAAACAGAACGGGATCAGCGCAGTGCGGACCATGGAAGCCTTCCACTTCGTTAGCTATGTGCCAATCAAAGACCGTCTCTTTGAACTTGATGGACTCAAGGCTTACCCCATTGACCACGGTGAGAGTTTACACTGACATGGAAAAAAATGTAAACTGAGTCAATACATTTATAGTTCACCGTTTTTGATCCACTGCACAACCTGAAGTCATGTCCACGATAAAGTTCTGTTGTGTCTTAGGGCGTTTCTTAGGTAATGGATAACGGGTTTGTTTTCACTTTTATTGATACATTTAGTGCTGCTTTGTGAACAAGTATAAAAAAGAAATTTATGATAATATTAACTCCTTCTTTAGGGCCCTGGGGTGAGGATGAGGAATGGACTGATAAGGCTCGCCGTGTTATCATGGAGCGGATTGGACTGGCCACCGCTGGGTGAGTCATGCACCAGTTAGCAAAGTGCTTTAGCTTCTACAGTCACCCTTAAGGCTTAATTCTAATGGCGCTGCTCATCTTTTCCCCAGCGAGCCGTACCACGACATCCGCTTCAACCTGATGGCGGTGGTGCCTGACCGCAGAATGAAGTACGAGTCCAAACTGGAAACTCTAAAGAAGAATCGGCAGACTATTCTGGAGGGTCTGCAGAAGGTCAGGAACTGAGACAAACCAAGTTTCTTCCAACAGTTTGTTTTGGACCTTTATGTCCAAAAATAATTTTATTGGTTTAAATTTCATTCGTGGAATATCTTCTGTTTTATTTGCAAATTAGTTATTTTTTAAATTTGTTGTCACATCTTCAGATGATCCGACTCACTCAGACTGAGCGCATTCATGACAAAAAGCAGCAGGACTCTTCCTCCCCAGATGAAAACAGCCCTGCCATCAAAAAAGAAGCAGATGGAGGCCCGGGAACTTCCCAAGGATCCTCTTCAGGTAACTTTCATTGCTTACTTCTTTCCCTGAATCATTTCCTGGCATTTGTGTTTGGGTTTATTATTATAAATCTTGAATTTGTTTCAATAAAGCAGCTCTCATTTTAGATTCAGTGGATGATTCAGGGGCTCAATCCAAGGACGGAGCTAGTCTCTCTGGAGGCACTAAAGTCATGGGAAAACCCCCAGCCCTGGTTGGAGGAGGTGCCCAGCAAGTTGCTAATTCAAACCCTGTTGTCCAGCGCCTGCCTGCCTTCCTGGACAACCACAACTACGCCAAGTCCCCAATGCAGGTGAGAAGAGCTGGAGCGTTGTGTTTATCCTGCCTTAGTAGTATTATTTATTTTTTTCATTTGAATTTTCTCTCAAGGAATGCTAAATACTTTGTCGTCACCATTTGTATTTAATTCAATTCAATTTAGTTTATTTATGTAGCACCAAGTCATAACAGAAGTCATCTCATTTATGCTGATAGTTCTGCAGTTGGCTTCTCTCTTCATTAGATCTGTAATTTGTGAGAAATTGACAATGTTTCTGGTTGTTCTAACACATTTTATGTTACTTCTGATTAAAAGTGAAAAACTAAAAGAGAGTAGGTTGATTATTTTTATGTCAAACAATTCAAAACGGCTAATAGTTTTAGCTTCAGAGGCTTTTAACTTCATTTGTTCTACATTAAAAAATGTCTGAAATACTTTTTTGGTCACTGAAGGTCGTTGTCTATTTATTTTGCTTTTCATCTCGACGATACTCATTGAGCATTTGGGACCAAATACCCTAACAATGACTTGAAATAAATTAAATTTATTTGAATTGTTTTGTCATTCTTATACTGAAAAAAATACGACTGGATGTTTATTAATGATCCTTTGACTGACAGGAGGAGGAAGATCTTGCAGCAGGCGTTGGTCGCTCTCGGATCTCAGGCCCACCCCAGCGCTCATACTCGGATGATGAAGACTACGAAGATGATGAGGAAGAAGTGACAACTACTGCGAGCGTTTCCACCAGGCAAGCATTGTAAATAAAATTATTATTATTTTTTTGTTTTTTGTGGTATGAGCTAAAATCTAAAGTTCCTGGAATTTTAATTTATTCATTTGTTTAAGATTTAGACGGAAAGCAAGTCTTCGCTCAAGAACAGGCCGGACCGGAACCGGACTGGAGAGCCAGATTGCCCTCAACGTTTTGGCTGAGAAACTGAAAAAAGAGGCTCAAAGGAAAGATTCTTTAAATACTCCTCTATCTGTGCGCACCGAAGGTCGCACCGGGGGGATTTGTATCACGTCTGCCTCGCAGCCGTCACCCACTCCGAGCAACGAAAGCACCGACACGGCCTCGGAAATTGGCAGCGCTTTCAACTCCCCCCTGCGCTCGCCGGCACGCTCCCAGGCTGCCACGCGCCCGTCGAGTCCAGTTGCGTCCCATCTGTCCCGAGTTCTGTTTGGAGAAGACGAGATGCTGAGGCTAGACTCCAGACATAACCGTGCTGTGCGAGAACTCGGCTCCTCTGTCAGCGTAACGCTGCTACACCTGCAGGAAGACGGAGTCATCCATGCTCTCCCTCCATCTGGTGAGAACACACGGTCTTCAAAAATGTGTTTACAAAGGCCTCTGCTGACGTGAACGTTACGCTATATAGCTTAATACTTGACTACAGAAAATAGAATGACTGTAATATTTAATTATGTATTGTCTGGGCTAAAATACATTTTTTAAAGGTGTTTTATTTATTTATTTATTTGTATTTGTTTGCCAATATAGGAGATTTAACTCCTGAGGGCACTAAAGTTTCTACTCTAGAGAAACAAAAAGTCAAAGAAAAAGCCGAGGAAAAGGATGGCTTGAAGGGGGGAGGTGAAGGAGCATCAGTGGAGGTGAAGAAAGAAGAGAACAAAGATGGAGCAGAGGTGAAATCTGGCAAGGAGAAGCTCAACATAACGGAGTCTAGTGCAGACAGCAAGCCCCCCGGGGATAAGTACTCTCCTAAAGTACGTCTGAAAAATATCTTTTGTTATTCTGTACTACGAACCTTGCTAGGCTTATCTGAACCCCATCTTACTTTTGTAAAGTTTTTGTTTCTTGTGCTGCTAATAAAGAAGCTGATGTCATATAATCACAAGCAGCGGATCACCTCGTTGTGTTTTTCAGGAGCTGCTTGCGCTGCTCAAGTTTGTAGAGGCCGACATCGCTAATTATGAAGTGACTCTAAAGGAAGAAGTCGAGAAGAGAAAAAAATATAAGGTGAGTTCAAATAAAATAAAAAAATTATATTCTAGTTAGATGTTTTAAGTGGATTTTAATCCACTTGTTTGCATTTGTTCAGATTGATGATCAGAGGAGGACCCATAATTACGACGAGTTCATCTGCACCTTCATATCGATGCTGGCCCAAGAAGGTAGCTCTGGTTCCCCGATGCATGCTCAATAATCCAAATCTGGTTGTTTCTGCTTCCTTCCTTCACAGATTTTGGCTTCTTTTTGTTTTGCTCATCAAAATCATTCGTTTAGATTTCTCATCAGGTTTAATCTATAGAGGCGTGCAAAACATTTGCACAATTACAAAAACTGTTCATAGTTTAATGTATTCAATTCAAATTCAAAAATACTTTTTTTTTATCCCAAAGGGAAATTAAATGTTGTTGTAGCTCATCTTCCTCATTTTATTAAGATATGCTATAGATACTGATGGCTGTAGGCAGGAAGGATCTCTTGTAAACGTCCGTCCCACAGCGGATCCAAAGAAAATAATCGCAGATGCTGTCCGATCCGTCCACCCAGACTCGGCTGGCCTCTCGCTTCCTCCGGGCTGCAGGACCACCCGAATGCTGGGCAGAACTCCTCCTGGAGTGATGGCCATTCCTCCTAGCAGCCTGCCGAGCTCCTCGTCGCTGCGGACATCTGGCTGCAGGTGCCGGGGGATGATCCTGTCCTGCTGTCACGAGCCATGTTTCTGGCTGGTTCCAGGATCTCAGTGGTCAGGCACTCGAGCACAGCTGGCAGGGAGATGCGAATGCATCCACAATGCCTCCTTTTCAACTCATTTGAGATTTGGGGCTGTAGTTGAGATCTCATTTGAGCTTTTGAGATGTTATCATCTGCTCCCGGTTGTAAAAAAATAAAAATAAAAAATCTCGATACGGTTATGCATCATAACAAATGTCCAAAACTAAAAAAAGTTTCAATAAAAATCCTTCCAGCTGCACAGCATCTGATACCAGAGGAAACAACCATCCTAAAAAGGGGATATACATCCAGAAAAAAAGATACATTCAAGTTTTCAAAAGCTAAATCTCAGAATGAATGTAACAGAGCTGCTCCAACATGCAGCGACCCCGAGCAGCGCAATTCTAGAATGTATGTTCTAAAAGGAAGACAAAAAAAACATTGTTTCTGACATTTTAAGCAAAGTGTAGTCATTTTTGCAAGGTTTGGTCTGATTTATTAATTTTTTTAATTAAAGATAAATTTGATGGCTTTTTGTCAAAAAAATTTTTAAGCAACAAAAAGGTTCAAATAGAAACTCACCTAAACATTATAAATGTTTCATCTCCAACGTTTTGCCTTTTATACACGAGGTAAAATTTCACTCATTTAAATGTCGACGTTGATCTAGAGCCCAGACTTTTTTGCACCAGTGTACTTTTCTTGAGGCTTCAGTGGTAAACCATTAGTGTCCAATTGTGGCAGATCTCCACACTGAACTGGATATTTGGGTTGAGCTTGTCTGCCCTAAACCACTGAGCTGTGAAGAATCTCCCCAATTAGCAAGAAAATGAACAGAAAACTTGTCAAGTGGATTCTTTATACCAAATAACACCAAAGCTGCTTTTGTAAAACAGTTTTTCCTTCGTTTTTTTTTTCACTTCAACAAAACTTCTTCACACCTGCTCTTTGTTTGATCATATTTCTTCTGCAGGCATGCTGGCCAGTCTGGTGGAGCAAAACATTTCTGTGCGCCGTCGGCAGGGAGTGAGCATCGGCCGTTTGCACAAACAGAGGAAGCCAGACCGAAGGAAACGCTCCCGACCGTACAAAGCCAAACGGCAGTAATCACAAAAAATCAGAACGTCAATAAGTAATGTGTGAGCACCATGCAATCATGGCAGAGGGAAAGGAAGGCCTGACGCATTCCTGAAAGTTGTTCCTAAGGACAGCGTCAGTTTGAATTTGAACTAGAAACTCTTCTGCTTCGTAAAACGGACCGTTGATGCTTACAAATGAACGTTACTGAAGTGTTTTCTACATTTTACCTGTCAGTGTGGTAATTATTTCATGGAGCATGGACTTATTTAAAACACATGTAACTGTATGTAGTCTGTCAATATTTCCTCAGTGCCAATTTAGTAAAGTAACAAATAGTGTTTCACGCATTGAACTTTTAAATTCAGCACATTCAGTGCATGGACTCACAATGTAATATAACATTGCTTTTTAATCTCATGATAGTGTTCTTGTCAATTTCAGTCTCAACAAGTCATGATGTGTCTTAAGTTCTTGTTTTACAATAGAAAAACTTTTTGACAAAGGATCTTTACTTGTTTTTGTACATATATCTTTTTTTGAGGTCCTGCAGATGGAAAAAAAAAAGTTGTTGTGTTATTTTTCTACCTGATGGATCTCAGAGTTCATATTCAGGTAAATGTTGACAGCTGGGTGTTTTTTGTACATATTTATGTGTTAATTGGCTCACATGTATATTAAGTTATATACTCGTTCGCTGCGCTTATTTTATTTCTGAAATAAACAGTGAAAATAACTTCCTCTGATCTACATTTTTTTTTTGCATTTAAAAGTTTTTGATGTGATATAACTGCAGTGTTTTCTGGAACATTTGCTTGACTAAAAATAAAAGCTAAATTAGATTAAATTTGCACTCAGTATTATTTTATATAACTTGCACTGACAGTAGGTGTACTCTAGGGAGAGTAATTATTCAAAGACAATTGTGATCATTTCAGATTTGTCTATGCTGTAACAAACCCATGTAAGTCGTTAGTTAAAACAGATTTATAAAACAAGACATGCTGAAAACTTTACCTACTTTCCTATTAGTTGTTACTTTCAACCTAAGGAAATATTAGTGAGACACTAAATGTTCAAAATTGTAAACTATTATTGTATCAATTTCTTTTGAATTTAAAATGGGCCAGTTTTTTAAGTTTACATTGTTGGGAAAATATAAAACAATTTAATCCAGTTCATTTTGCACTTTGACATAAAATTTCACAAAATGTGCAGTATTTGGGGGGTGGGGGGGTGGTTAGGTCTTAAAAAAACTGGGGAAACCAAGATTAATAATTTACAGTTTTAATAAAGATCATTATTATTTTAAGGCCTCAAACGATCAATTTATTATTTAGTTTTAAATCAAATTTATTGTTTTAATCTGAACTTTCACACGATCATTTTGTGTTGCGTATGTAGTTATTTTGCTTTCATTTCTTTTATATGTGATGTTAGTTTGGAAAAAAAAACATTACTTTAAATGTTTTCCCACCACACACACATTTATGAGACACAAACGACAATTAAAAAAAAAAAAAATCACTATAATTTGACAAGAAATTCTTTCATTTGTTAAACCGATTCAGTAACTTGATGCAGGCAGGCCTCTTGTCCAATAAGGCTCACGGCCATTGCTTGAGCTCTCTACAGCTTTCTGCTTTGTGATTGGTTCTTTATTCAAATGCTCCTGTATGATTGGCTGGGGAAGTGTCGAGAATAAATTACAATATAATGAATGGAAGTTGAGAAACGCAGTAGTTAAACGATTTTTGGTATTTACGGCTGAAAATGAAGTGTAAACAAGCTTCACCTTTGGAGTGTTTTTATAAACCAGTTGCCCCTGAAGTCACAGAGGCAGCTTTACAAGAACATTTCACTTCGACGGCCGAAACCAGCAATACCGATGCAGACTTCAGCGGTATCTAAAAAAGTTAAATATAGTCCTCTGGACATTCAAAAAACAAAACAAAGCAAAACAACAACAAAAAAATGTAGAAACGTTTCGTCTCTCATCCAAGAGACTTCCTCAGTCTGAGGTGCTGTATTCAGCTCAGTCTCTTAAATAGCACCTTCTCAGAGTGGATCAACCAGTTTGCTGCTGACCACCAAAACCAGCTGATCACATGGTCAAGAAGGACCATCAGCCTAACAATGGATCATTAGCACACTGATGGCTGTTTACTACTCACAGAGGGCTGAGTGATACTAGCAATCACAGCATTGTAAGAGGGGGACAGTTGAACCCGGAGGCCTCCACCCCTGTTTAATGATGGACGATTTCTTTTCACAAAAATGGCCTCCTTTACTCCTCTCTCAAACCATCGTTCTTCTCTATCCAGGATGTGAACATCATCCCTGAAAGAGTGACCGCTGGCCTGGAGATGAGTGTAGACCGCAAAATCCTGGCCTGATGATGTTGATCTTCTGTGCTGGTCCATCCTTTTGGCCAGTGGCTGTTTAGTTTCCCCGATGTAAGACTGATCACCCTCCTGACACTGACCAACATACACAATATTACTCTGTTTGTGCCGGGGGACTGGATCTTTGGGATGAACCAGTCTTTGCCGTAATGTATTTTGGGGTTTAAAAACCACTGGGACATTGTGTTTAGAAAATAAACGTCTCAGTTTCTCTGATACTCCCTCAACATACGGAATGACCACTGGTCTGGGTCTAGGTTCCTCCTTTTCACCTGATGGCTGACTGGAGTCCTGTTTGAGTTTCTTCTCTGCTCTCAGGAAGGCCCAGTTAGGATATCCACATTGCTCTAGAGCCTGTCTTGTGTGGAATTTGTCCTTCTGCCTGGCCCTTGAGTTAGTGGGGATGCTGTCTGCTCTGTGGTACAGAGTCCTGATGACTCCTAACTTGTGCTCCAAAGGGTGATGGGAGTCAAACTTGTAAAAAATGGCAAGTTGGCTTTCTTGGACTGTGAGGTCTCAGTCTCTGCCAGAGGACATTTGCAAACTGAGGTGTACTGCAAACCCACCCACACAGACCAGTATTTGCAGTTTGACTCCCATCACCCTGAGACTGAGCTAACGGTACTAGCCGCCCTATGCTCTGGCCTTGTTTTGCTTTGGTGAAGGCTAGCGTTCGAGCACCCTCTCCCAATCATTTTCACCAACCTCATACACAGTTGGACCGAGCTAGTGGTACTGGCTTCTCTATGTTCTGGCCTTGTTTTCCTAATTGGTGAAGGCTAGCGTTCGCGCCCCCTGAGAGTCTCTTGATGATCAGTATAAATGGGCCTCCTGTTCATCGTTTTGAGCCTAGAAAGTATGTAACAACATGGTTAAGAAAGCACCGCTCTGCAACAGACTCAAGACTAATGAAACATGAGCCTGAGAACAAACACATTTGGAACATTTTATAGACACCCAACAAAGTTCAGTCAGGTCATCTGGAAACCCCCCTCCATCACCACCACCACTGAAAGAGGACAGGCCCCAGAAACCATTTTATCTGCAGCAAACTTGTTGGTCCACTATTGCTGCTTGTGGGACTCAGTTTGTTGTGGCTTCTTGGACTGAAGAAGTCCTTTGGATGAAACGTCTCAACCAAAAATAAAAAATAAACCGTCCAGATGACCTGACTAAACATTGTTGGATTTTCTTCCTGGATTATTGAGCATGAACTTTGATTTCATAGACACATTGGGTTGGTTAAACCTTTTTTGTTTGTTTGTTTTTGTATAATTAATACTTCTGTAGTTACTCCTTAATACTTGAACATGTTTTTATTTTGATACTGTTTTTATAAATTCTGTAACATGTTTAATACAAAGCCAACTGTTATACAAAGTTTTGAAATGTTCAATATTATGCTTAAAAATCAAAATAAATTGACGATTGTGTTGTACTAACCGGTGTACTTTGGTTTCTAAGCACAGTATACCCACTACAAAAATGTAGACTACACCACTGTGTAGATGTGAACTGAATCTGGAAGGCCTTGATGGTCTTCAGTAATGGTGGTTTGCATTAAAGGTATGGCAGGACATTGCAACATATATTCAAACCACACCTACTCAAATAACTATAGAAATTAAAAAAATGTTCCTTCTGGGGAAAAAGACATTCTTGTTAGCCAGAATTAAATAGACATCTAAAAACATTCATACCAACAACAACAACAACAAAGACACTAAAATACCAGTGACGTTAAGCGAAGACTGTAATAAGAAATAGTAGGTAAAAAAGTTTAACCCAATTTTCCATTTTTAACTTAAAAATGGAGAAAAAATAATTAAAGAGTGTAAGCGGCTGATGTAACAGGTAGCAGACTGGAGATGCAATGCAGGTTTCCACACATCACTTGTCATAAGTTTTTATTGCTCCTCTCCAAATTGCCTGTCATCAAGTTCCCAATGGATATTTGAAATATCTCTGAAATTACCTTTTTTTTTTTTTGTTTTGCTTGTTTTGTTTTTAAACAATTTTTAACTAGCAATTGTGTATATCCTTTTAACGATTTTAGAATTAAAATATTTTTGGGATACTTACCGGTATTTTTTGAGAGGTCTGTAATTTATGTAAATATTTATTTTGATTTAAAAATACACAGTTAGGGAAAGTCATGTTTTAAATGTTGAATGTGAACTGGACAAAATATCCTTAAAGATAACTGAAATGAGGTGGCACAGTGGCGTAATTGGTAGAGCCGATGCCTCTCTGCAAGAAGGTTGTCTATTCAAATTCCAGCCCGGGACCTTTCTGGGTGGAGTTTGCATGTTCTCTCTGTGCATGCTTTTCTCCAGGTGCTCTGCTTTCCTCCCACAGACTGAAAACATGCATGTTAGGCTGATTGGTAACTAAATGGTCCCTAGTGTGAATGGTTGCTTGTCTCGTTTGTCTATGTGGCCCTTTGATGGACTTGCGACCTGTCCACGATGTCCCCCGCCTCTTGCACAGTGATGGCTGGACATGGGCATTGGTAACTCCAAAAATGGAAGAAGTGGGTAACGATAGTGGATGGATGGATGGATTGAGCAGAAGAAAAAATAAATACAATAAACCTACTTTTAAGAGTCTAAAGATATCTTATGCATCTTAACAAATCCTCAAAAGATCTTTAGTTTAAGGGTAAAACATACTTTATAATTGCTTCATTAATATGTACCTGATATGTTACCTTATATATTTTATTGTAGTAAAAAAAAAAAAAAATCACAAAGTAATATATTACATCATATTATTCCTAATATAATATTTATATGAAAAATTGGCTTGACTTATATCCCTTTCGGCTTGAAATAATACAGCCACGTGAGCGCGCACGTACGAGGCACACAAGTCACCGCCCATTGCGTCTGCGCGCTCCCTCAGCCTCTCCGTCAGCGCGCCTGCTCCGTGCAGGATGCTGAATTGTAGGTGATGATGGCGGAAGGGGAGCGACGTTGAGTTTCGTCTGAGTCCTCACCACAGCTGTAGAACCGTCTACAACATCGTTTCTCTCCGTCGAGAGCTATCCGGAGACGATGGGGAACGAGGCCAGCATGGAGGGGGAGGGACAGCCGGGACAGGCGGGCCCCGCCGTCCCTGCAGCAGGTGCTCCGGCTTCCATTTCAGCACCACCGGACTCTGGACAGCTCATCAAGCCGAGCAACGGAGCGCCAGCCGGGGGAAGTGGCTCTGCGTCCGGCCCGGGGATTAACAGGTAGCCGCGATAGCTAAGAGGCTTCACCGCCGAAGTGTGGCTTGAAAACGGGGAGGAGGTTGTACGGGAGCGAGGTGCTTTCCCGACATTAGTCCACAGAGCAGACGCTGGAACAACCGACTGCGGGCTGATAGACTTGAATGGGCGCTCAATTATTTATTTCAATATATCCCTGTCAGCACAATTCACCACCTCTTCTTGATACCTTTAGCAGCAACTCTTTGCTACTTAATGCCACCTTGGTTTACATTTAAAACGCGAATGTGGAAATAATAATAATAATACTAATAACGCTTTGAAGACGTTTCAGCAATTTCTACGCCCTTTTTACGATGATACATTCAGGTGTCATGAATGAAAATGGGACGTTTCCAACTCTCCTACTGAAACAAGGGCCACGCAAACGTGAATACTCGGTTCTGGGGAACATAATTTCCCCTCATATGCTCAAATGCTAAATTAGTAATGTAGATGATGCAAAGTGCACTGCACCTCGCGTTGAAGGGATGGGTCGGTCCTATTACTGCTTTCACATGAGTACCAGTAAATCCAGAGTCATTCTGAAAAACACACACACACACACCTTCCTCCTTTCCCCTGTATCCTCATGACAGTGTGTGTAGAATGTCAGTGCTCCCATCTGATATCTCCAACGTCATTGAGAGCAAAGCACCGAAAAACGCAGAGCTACAGCAATCAGATCTCAGCCTCAGATCAATATGCTGTTAGAGAAAATAGTTTTTCACCACCACAGCTGCACAGAAAGGCTCATTTGGTCTGGGGAGGGGTGTGTGTGTGAGCGGCGTTGCATCTTTTTTTAATGAAATCCAGACGCTCGGCTCAGTCAGACATGGCACCTTTTTACAAGACTGCTCCCCTCTTACTGATCCTTCCACATTTGAACACTGTTACCTCATAATAGCCCATACGACGCTGGTCAAACACGAGCCCCTCTGAGATCAATGATCACATGTGCTGTAACAGCTGGCAGGTCTGTCTTTCCGGCGTGAGGGCGTGTGGAAGGGATTACCCTCCTAACAAGATCTGATATTGCCTTGATTACACAGTTCAACAGTTGTAGACCTGAACCCACACACGCTGGATTTGCCACACCTATGGAAAATCTCTACACTTGCAAACCTTTGTAAGGGAAAATTTCAAGCAGGAGGTTGGTCCTTTGGAAGATTTGTTATTGCCTGCTGGCAAAAGGTGAAGGCAGACAATAATGTTTTGTCCATGTTTGTGTGTATTTTTGTTTCGGTTTGTGTGCCTGTCTGTTACCAAATATCTCATGAACCACTCTACAAATTTAAATGAAGATTGTAAATGGCAAATGGACTGTACTTCTATAGCGCCGTCCTGTCTTATCAAGATACTCAAAGCGCTTTTCACTACATGTGCCCTTGTTTATCCATTTATACAGCACTCTACTATCAGTGTACAAAGATTAATAAGTGCTTTTAGACCACATTCATACACTGATGGGACACACATCGGAGGCAATGAGGGGTTCAGTGTCTTGCCCAGGGACACTTCAGCATGTGACTGCTGGTGGAATCGAACCCTAACTCTCCCATTGGAGGACGACTGCTCTAACCACAGCCAAAGTTGTAGATAGTGATTGATGAATGTACATCTACAAAGGAGTACATTTTAAAGTCAACCCAATTCAAGATGGCTGCCACAGCCAACTGACCTCAGAAACACACAAAAACTATCTCATAAACCAATGCACAGATTTTAATTAAACTTTCAGAAGGTAATTATTGACTGTACATCTACAACTCATCCACATTTGCAGTCAGTCCATTTGAACATGGCTGCCACTGCTAGTCAACGCAGTAATCGTTACAACTCTTGAAATTACAGCCACTGAGCTACATTTTGTCCGGTAGTAGCTGAGTCATCCTCAACACATTCCTCACGAGCTACGAGATGACGCAAAATCTTGCACTATTACCTGAGATCACATTTAACAGCATTTACAAAATTTGACCTAATGGCTATAACTCTATTCTTTCTCGTTATAGGATGGTTTTATTTGTTGATGTGAATTATTATTAGGGTTGTTAGGGTGTGATGTGGGCTTTACATGTATTTTAGATTAGTTTATGTATATATTTTTTAATTATTGTTCAGTTATCTGTATATTTGTTAGGAAGAACCCTCACTGTTTGGTTTGTGCGTTCATCGTGGTGCTGCTGATGTAAACGCTCATAGCTTCCTTGTAATCTCATGACTCTTTCATGTGTTGATTTCTCTCTGGCATCCACCCTTAGGTATCTTATAATGCGACGGCAAGTTCTGAGACGTAGTGCGCCACAAGACAGAGAAGCAAATTGAGAAGCGGGGCAGAAAGAAAGAGAGATCGTTTCTTAAGATCATAATTCTTGCTTTAAAATGATCTTTTTACCAAGAGCGTTTGAGAAACAATGAGACAGCTTCTGGTGGTAGATTAGATCAAAGACTCACTTTAATGAGGTGAACAGGACAGCTTCATGTTACATTATCCAGAAGTAAGTTACATGAATGACATTTTTACTCTTTTCAGGCCACATAACCGTGCGTAAAGTCTCAGTTTGAGAATTAAATCTGAGCTCTTATAGGAATCTGTGATGTTACAGTATTCGGCCAAACTTTCTGCTTCACAGAGCACTACAGTAGTTGTTTTCTTCTCTTGTCATAACAGCGTTGACTAAGTGCACAGTCATCCTGATCTGCTGAACATTGCTGAAGAGCATCCTGACACGGGCTCCAAATATTTCCCGTTTACAGCCGTGCGCCTCTATGTTGCTGATCATCCTTAACCATAAAACTACTGGTTCCAAATAATGTGTAGGTAACCCATTCTTCTGTGGATCCCTTCAGTCTTCGGGGTTTATTTCATGTGGCTTGTTCCAATGTGGCCCACAGATGCTTGATTGAGTTTGGATTTCTTTCTAATTCTCATCAAAGCTGATCCTGGTTTTAAGTGTGCTGTGACACATTGTCCTGCTGGTCGGAGGACACTGATGTCACAGAGTCTGGTTGCCATGAGTCAATCTAGCTGTTTTTGTCTATTTTCTATAATTTATTCTTCTCAAATTATATGCTTTCTTTTATGATTGTCTACTGTTGTCGTCACTCTTTGTTAAAAACAGGTCTCTCTTGTAAATGAGTCCCCGAGGCTCAATGAGACGAACCTGTATAAATAAAGGTTGAATGAATGAGGATGTGCATGGTCTGTAACTGCTGTAATGTGGGTGGTGCATGCACAGGTTTGCCTGTTTCTTTTAAATACTGAAAGCCACAGCTTAACATAAAAAAAAAATTGTCTTGAAGCAAAATTCAGTGGTGGCTACTGGACTCTACTTGTTCGTTATTTAACTGTGTATTTTTACTTCTAATTATTGTGTTTCAGAACAGAATTAGTGAATAATGGGACTTTGTTTCATATGCTATAAATGTGGACATACTTGATTCTTGTTTTTGTGTTTGCTGGAAATACTGAATCCAGATAACGGAACACGTCATATCCACGTTAATAGCGTCTGTATTTATGTTCTCAGATGTAACGTTCAGAGACTATGTTCTCATGATTAATTTATATTCAGTAGTACGAACTCTGTGCGCTTTGTGACCCAGACATAAGAAATGGTTCTCATTACCTCAGACTAAATTCTCAACACACAGTTCTTTATTTTCTTGAAATTTACATATAGAAAGTAAATACCTGTTGTGCTTATGAGAGATTGGTGGAAAACTATAAACTATTATTAGATTACAAGTAAATTAAAAAAGAGCCTCTAAATGTTGTATAGTTCTACACAGTTTTCTAATTTTTTTTATATATACGTTTTACTTTGTACTTGCCACTTAAGTAATATTTGCTTCAAGCTGATGTTCTAAAATGTCCTAATCATAGCTTCATCAAAGTTCATGCTCAGTAATCCAGATAAAAATATCAAACATCGTTTCCCGATGCATGCTCAATAATCCAGGTAGAAAAATCAAAAAAAGTTAAGTCTGGTCCTCTGGACATTCAAAACAAAACAAACAAACAAAAAAAGTAGAAATGTTTCGTCTTTCATCCGAAAGACTTCTTCAGTCTCTGGCAAAAAAAAAGGCAACCTTCAGGTTTGTGACAACTGGCATGGTATCACCATGTCATTACCATCAAGTCTTCTGCCGAATCCTCATGGACAGAACTAGCTCTGCTATTGACAGCAAGCTGAGACAAGAACAAACTGGATTCAAAAAAGGAAGAGAATGTGTAGACCAGTTAGTTGCTCTCAGAAACATCATAGAGCAATGTCTGAAATGAAACAGTCCAATACCTCAATTTAATCGACTTCTAGAAAGCTTTTGACAGCCTGCACTGTGAAACCTTGTGGGAGATTGTAACATCCTATGACCTATCTTCTAAGATAGTAACTTTGATAGGGTTGTTTTACCATCATTTTGAGAGCAGCGTCATATTGGATAGCAAACTGTCAGACTGGTTCCTCGTAGAGTCTTGGGTTAGACAAGGCTGTCTCATCTTATTCCTAGTTGCCATTGACTGGATCATGTGAAAGACTGCATCACACAAACCAAGAGGCATCCGGTGGACTCATTTTTCCATCTTGAAAATCTTGATTTTGCTGACGATCTTGTGGTCTTATCCACAAAAATGAGTTATCTACAGAAAACAACAAACAGAAGTCTACATTGCTTTGCTCAACAGACTGGTTTGAACATCAGTACCATCATAACCCATGTCTTGTGTATCAATCTAACATTAGATGCACAAGTCACTGTGGATGACATGTCACTTTTGGTTGTTACGGAATTTTCTTACCTTGGAAGTCTTAGCACTAATAACACAATTAGCAATGACATTTCAGCACAGTTGGGAAAAGCATGTGTTGCTTTTGCCAGACTGTGGCCTATCTGGAAGTCAAAGCATTATCACCTCCAAACCAACAGTAACATTAAATCTGTTTTGCTGTATGGTTCTGTGTGTTGGAGTGCGACTTATT